TTGCAGTGGGAACTTGGCAGCCTCCTCTTTTATTCCAAGAACAGATGTACTGCTCTTGCTCAGGCTGCAAATTTCCTCCAAACTCCATGCTATGATGCCTTTCCCCTGAACTAGAAGGAACTCCTCAAGAAGCAAGTTCAGTCTCCAAGGTCCCAGCAGTCCCTGGTCTCTTCTGAGATTGACAACCAGGTTGCCAGTTAGTGCCAATGTTTGTTGGGATGTGGACTGAGATTTATATCATTTGGACTGCTGCCAGATCGGTAACTTCCTATCACAGCTCACTAGTCACCTGGGCTGGATCCAAGCTGGAAACAGAGGTGAATGGTTCAATGTGCCACTATCGGTTCCATGAGACATCCAGTCCCCCAAGCTCTCCACACTTATCTATAGCCATACAGAGCCTTGCTTCCTTACCCCTCTTTACATCTTCCAGGCAAAGATGAAATTATCTGTGTCTGAGCCAAGAGGTAGTGCTACCCATAAGCAAAGCAAGGCTGTATTCATTACCTTGTTCCAAACTCCTCTTGAAGCCAATGGTGTTTCATATGAGTGAGCAGCTACAAAAGAAATTTTTAATTAAGAATTAAAGTAATAAATCAATGGAAGTTTGTCTTCACTACAGCTGAAAGGCCAAAACTGTTTGATATTTACCTTGGAAAGATCAACAGAGTCAAGGGCAAAACCAACCGCAATGAATGAAATGATAGATTAATCTATTGTTTTCATGTATGACAGCGGAGCTCCGAACCATGCAAGCAAGCTGCAAAAAGCCTCCCTCCATATTCCCTAAGCTGAGCTCATTTTGTTTTTCCAAATAGGTCCTCCTGGGGTCTCAGGTCAAGTTCCTATGATTTGCCTCCAGAATAAGACAAACCCTACCTCATTTTTCCAGGCTTCCTAGATCATAGCAGTGTGGGCTAGTCCCTAATACAGAGTGAGCATGGCCATTGCAAATGTTCAGCCCAATCCTGCAAGCTGTTAGGTTTCAAGTGCTCTCAACTCTAATAGGACTACCATGGGAGTTGAGCGCACGCAGCAGCTCACGGAATCATTTCCTGAATCCAACTGTATAGTAGCGTGTGAACGGACTCTCTGCCTGGTGAGACCCAATTCCTTGAAGACTTATCCCAAATTGCAGTTTTCCCTCCTTCTCACTCCAATGTGCTGACACATAAATTCCAATGGATCCCTATCCTGTCCTTCTTCTGATCACTAATACTCAACCACGGACAGGTCATCTTCTTCCTATGTCCTTGTCCCTAATCTCCCATAGCAGGGGTGGCCAACCTGAGCCTGAGAAGAGCCAGAGCTGTACATTGCCAAAGAGCCACAGTAATACATCAGCAGTCCCCATCAGCCCCTCCACCCCCACTCCCAGAACCTCCTGCCCACCGGCAGCCCTGCCGATCAGCACCTCCCCCTCCCTCCCCGTGCCTCCTGCCTGCTGCAATCAGCTGTTTCCCAGTGTACAGTAGGCTCTGGGATGGAGGGGGGAGGAGCAAGGGTGCAGCACACTCAGGGGAGGGGGTAGGAAGGGGCAGGGGCCTTGGGGTAAGGGGTGGAGGGGGCAGGGCCTGGAGTTGAGCAGTGGAAAGTTGGCACCTATAGCTCCAGCCCCAGAGTCGGCACCTATACAAGGAGCTGCATATTAACTTCTGAAGAGTCGCATGTGGCTCTGGAGCCACAGGTTGGCCACCCCTGCCCCAGAGTCTCTGCAGCATACAACCTGTTCCTCTTGGCTCCCTTACTGCTTCTTCCTAACCCTGTCACCTATTATTGGTGATATTCAATCAGGGAGGTGGCCTGGCTAAAAATGAATCATCTGTCACACATTGGCTGCTGGACTCTGATTATCTGGGGCTGTCTAATCTCACACTTTGGGGATTCCCTGGATCAGAGGTTGTCTCAGGATGCATTTCATCCTCCACAACTCTGGACAAGACATGGGAGTTGAAGACTGGAGCTGGGCTAGCGAAGTTACAGCCAAAGATTGTCAGAACTACTGAGAAAGATTTGGGAAAAGGAAATAGGCTGCAGACAGGAAATAACAATAAATTATCTGGTTCACTACTGTCTTCATAAAGGAAAATGAGTCTAAGAAGAAGCCACATGATGAGTAAATTATGATAAACTTCCTGGTAATTCCAATTGCCATGGATCCAGAGAAGTTTTTTTTATTGAAAGTTTTGAATGCATGAGGTATTCATGCAAGTGCTGGGCTGACACAGTCTACAGCAGTGGTTCTCAACCTATTTACCATTGTGGGCCACATCCAATGCTACCTGTATGGCCCTGCGGATATGACATGGACCACAGCTCTGTGCTGATTGGCTGAAAGTGGCCTGCGGGCTGTAGGTTGAGACCCACTGGTCTACAGCCAAGCTCAGTGTAGGCCGGTACTCTGAAGGCTTCCCATATGGAGCTTTACCAGTATTCCTCCATCCTGACCTGCAGCTCCTGCTATTGCAGTCATGGACTCTCCCGCAGTTCTGAACCTCAGGCTTGACCTGCAGCATCCCTAGTTAATTCAGTCCTGGGCTTCTAGTCAGGAGAGAGAGACAGAGAGAGATTTTGGTTTTGGGCCACCCTTAAAATAAAATTTCTGTTTTTTAAAACATATATTATAATGGTCCCATTGTGCACAGCAACACTAGAGCTGTCTGCCCCACGGCAGGCAGGGAACTTCTGGCAGGCAGCCTGCCCAGTGTTTATGAGCAGTGTACTGTGAAAATGACCTGGAATACTCTCATGGACACAGCTCCCGGTTTATATTACAGCAGAAAAATCATTATCACTGCCAGAAAAAAAAAAAAAAAAAAGGACAAAAGGCCACCAAACAATAATGCCACCATAAATAAGGTCTATAAAATAAAATATGAAGAAGTTGCATAACTAACCAGGTCTGTGTCACACACATGCTGCTCAGCTTGGGAAGAGTCCTCTGGGACATGTAAATTACTCATTCCATGTGGCAAAGGACCCAGTAAATAATCAAAGAAAGCGTGTGCAGGTTTACAACTCTCATAAGGAAATGAAGGCAAGAATTTTGAAGAACTTAGTCTCTCACTTCTGCAAACCTTTGCTCAAATCCTGAGCTGGATCAGAAGAGAAGATAGCTATGTTGCTCATATTGATTTCTAAAACATATTTGCCCACATCACTAAACTACCATAGAATTGGCAGCCATTGCTAAGTATGAGGCCTGAGACTGGGATAATAATTGTCATCTTTTTTATAGTGCCTTCCCTCATGCTGAAGAAATGCTGGGATTGCTTTACAACTGGACAGCTGTGGATGTCTGTGGGATGGTTTCTCAGGGTACCCAGGACTCTGAGTCACCTTGTTACCCCCTGCCTCAAGTGTGAAGGAGTCTTGCTTTTACTTTGCTAGCTGTCAGCTTGCTAAAACCACCCACCTAGTAGCTACTCAAGCCCTCTCCTTCAATGCCAGCCACTACTTTTCCCCTGTTGGTTTTGGGTAACTTTATACAATGACTGTATTTAAAAACAAAACTAAACTATTTACCACATATATTGGTCAAATCCTGAAATGTCATTTAATATTAGCAACACAACACCACACAATAGTTGTGAGAATAACAGATTGTGCACAGGGATAGTCAACTGCCTCAGGTGGTTGATGGCATTTGGTTTCCATAGGTGCCTACTAATAAATACACTTGAGGCAAAAGGTTCTCTCTGTGGTTGCTGTGTGTTTCTGCTTAATTATTTTTAATCTGCAGTACTGACTGTCTTGCAATGGCATCTGACACACCCAGAAACATTGGGCCAAATTTTCAGCTGGTGCAAATGGATTGTCAAGAGCTGGGTGAAACCTTGTTAAGGGTTGAGTTAAAACCTTATTCAGATTCACAGGTGTGAATACACTTTTCAATTGACATAATTGTAATGATAAGCCCCCACCTAGGACAAAAGGAGTATGTGACCCTACCCATGAGTTTTTCTTGAGTATTGTTTGGGGAAGGGGGAGAATGTGATATGTGTGAGTGTGAGCAAGAGAAGGCAGAACACAGGAGACCAGAGAGAAACACAATCAGCATGAAGGAGCAGCTGAAAGCAAAGTATCTGACCCTGGAAGAAACTGGGGAGAAGTTTTTGGGTGGGGTGTGGGTTGAAAAGAGAGTGTGTTCTGGGGGCTGTGAGTAAAATAAGCTGTTTCTTGCTATTTGATTCCTTCTGTGTTCAGACACACAGGACTTGATATATTCCCTGTAAATAACAAGACTGCATTGAAGAAATACTTGACTGTCACCAATTTCTTCACCTAACTGGAATATCCCCAAGAAAGTGAACATTAAGTAGCTGCTCAGGTCTGGGGCAACATGAGCAAAACTCCATAGAAATCAATTTACAGCAGCAGTGAGGATTTGACTACTCTTCTTGGGTTTTTTCTTAATTTAGCTTGTAATAAGGCTCAGGCTCTTCTCCCCACCGTGAACAAACTGGGATGTGAATGCAAAAACATCATTACTGTTACAGCCGGCGTCTAGTGGTGGAAGTACTGGCATCTAGTAGTAGTGCCAGCCATGGAAACAAGAAGGATATAAAGGAGGAAGCCTGAACTGAAAAGCTCTAAAGGGAGTAAACTCTTCCTTGCCCATTGGTTTGACCGCGTAACTCCTGTTTTTGAATCCCTCCATTGACTTCCTATCTAATATCATATGAAATTTATGTTGTGTCCCCCAACTTTCAAAGCGCTACATAACTCTGCCCTTCCCTGCTTATCCTCTCTTGTCTGGCTTCATGTCACCCTGTCCCTCCATTCTGCCAAGGCTTCCAACCTCATCCTACTTTCTTGGATTTTCCCAGAATCACCTCCATGCTTTCTTCCATGCAGTCCTTATGCATGGTTTGACCTCCCTTGGGTTGTTCACACTCAAGTCCCTGTAGAGACCCAGGACTACTGTGCCAGTTACAGTGAATAGTGCTGATCTGTACCTTCATTGTACATATCTTGCCTATTGTTTTTCTCCTTCCCCTGACCTCTATCTTTAGATCATGAATTTGTGTGTCATCCTTGCACAGGGGGCATGCTAATCTTCTCTGTATCATTCCAACTGTAGTGAGCTCTAAGCAGGGAGTATGCTTACATGTTTGGAAAGCACCCAGCACATAATGGATGCTACTGTAAATAAATAATCATAACAACCAGCACCACACCACCAGGGAGGCATCCACGAAAGGAATAAAGAATGTAGGCCATACTCACAGGAGGAGGACTCTATCCTGGGAAGCAGTGACTCTGAAAAAGATTTGTGGGTCATGATGGATAATCAGCTGAACATACACTCCCACTGTGACCAAAAGGACTAATGCAGTCCTGCGATGTATAAACAGCAGACTCTCAAGTAGGAGTAGAAGGATTATATAGCCTCTGTATTTGGCACAGGTGCAACCTCTGCTGGAATCCTGTGTCCAGTTCTGGTGCCCACAATTCAAGAAGGATGTTGATAAATTGGAGAGGGTTCAGAGTGGAGCCACAAGAATAATTAAAGGATTAGAAACATCCCTTATAGTGATAGATTGAATCGATTTAGCTTAATAAAAAGAAGGTTAAGGGATGACTTGATTACAGTCTATCAGTACCTATGGGGGTAACAAATACTTAACAGACTCTTCAGTCTAGCAGAGAACGGTACAATACAATCCAATGTCTGGAAGTTGAAGCTAGACAAATTCAGACCGGTAATAAGGTGTAAATTTTTAATGGTGAGAGTAATTAGCTATCGTTACCAGATGTGCCTATTACTTTTGGGTATGCTCATTTATTGGGGTTACTCTTTGGGGGGCCAGGGGGGGTTCTGTAATTCTATTAATGTACTGCTTATGTCACTTGTGTGTTCATATGGAGCTCTACTCCTTCCTTCTGCAAGTCCCCTCCCAGTGGAGCTATCCTGAAGTTTCCCCAGGACTGGGTTCCTCCAGCCCTAGAACCAGATCAACATGCATGCGCACACACACAAACAGAGCAAGTCTGAGCGGACCGGGTCAATCATCACTCTCAAGCTGATCCCCTTATACGTCCCTGTACTCAATGGGCTGGGTCAAGCAGCACTTTCAGCTTCCCCCCCTTATATACCACAGGTTTAACACATCCCTATCCTACTTTCACATCACAATTGTACTCGTAGTAACCCACTTGATTAGCAAACCCCACAGTATTTTTGGGTGCTACAGGGATCTTTAGCTTAGGTAAAAGAAGCATTGCTACAGAGTAAATGGGGGAAGCTAAAAACACAAAAGAGTAAAGTTCAAAGAGAGAGAAGCAACCAGCTTAACCATAAAAGTTATTTATTGAATAATAGTGATAACTACACAAGGAGAGCCTAAACCAACATAACATACATTATTAAAGGTTAATACCTGAGGTAGAAAGGAAAACAGAGAGAGAAAGAGAAAAAAAGATCTCACTCCTCCCTGAAGCATGAACTGGTCGCGGTTCCCAGGTGATGGTGGTAGCTTAGGATCCTGAGCCCTGGAGACTGGCAGAGCCCCCAGCATGATCAGTCAGGAGATGGAGTCCCAGTGGAACTGAGGCAGAGGTTGGATCCATGCATCAGAACACTGACTGGAGGATGTGTAGGATTTTTGTAGAGAAAATACAATGGTTCAAGGGAGAACACTAGATTTGTTTATAGGTAAACTGTGACTCAAGGGTTTTCTTTAGGCTAGACAATAGGAGCGGATCACTCTTGGCTATGGGTGGTGTTTTCTTCTAGGGAGCTCACAATGCAATGAGGCTGCTTCAGTATTTTGGATATCAATCAAGGATTTATTATGAGAATTGGTCAGATAATTGCTGAGCTGGATGTGTGCAGGCATAGGTTCATTAATATCTGGAGCAGAGATCCCCCATGATGCAGTGCTTCCCTGCTTTTCTGGTCCCAGAGTTCAGTCCGGTTCTCTGTTCTCCATTATGTATGCAAATGGGGATGTCTCTCTGTCCCATCTTTCATGCAGATGAGGCTAGGGGAGTTGTCTCTGTTCTTCATTCTGTATGCTAATGGAGATGTCTTAATCTTGTCCCCCTTGTCAGGAGGGGTCTAGGTGTGTCTCCCAACACCCTTCACTGCTCTCTGTAAGCCTTTTCTCTGATCGGTTTTGGTTCAAGCAGAGACTGGTGTGTGTGTGTGTGGTGGGGGCGGTCTTTCATGAGTCAGACAGGCTAGATACTGCGCCCTGGTTCCCCAAGAACCCAGAGCTGACTGTTACTACCACTGAACAACTTACCATGGGTTGTGGCGCATTCTCCATCACTGACCATTTTAAATCAAGGTGGATGTTTTTCTAAGAGATCTGCTCTAGGAATTATTTTGGGGGAAGTTATCTGGCCTGTGTAATACATGAAGTCAGGTGGTCACAATTATCCCTTCTGGCCTTTGAATCTATGAAAAAAGCAGTGAACCTACTTTTGTCATCAACATGCTCCAGAACAGTGAAAGTTTGAACACTGAGGAAGTACAGCATTAACACAGCCAGACATGAACAGGGGAGCCCCGAAAGGAGAGAGGTGGTAGGTGATGATCTAGATTCAGGATCCAATTCTGGAGAATGCTCCCTTGACACAGCCTGAGGTGGAGAGAGAGATGCCTATTTCTGAGTCTGATTCAAAGCCCATTAGTGGGGAGTCCTTCCATTGAATTCAGTGGGTTTTCACCCAGGGCCTATGAGAGAATGGGGGCATTGCTGAATGACTGGTCTTATGAAAAGAATCTGGGGTTGAAATGTATGAACAGCAGGTGAAAATGGATCTCAGTATACTGAGCAAAATCTGCTGGAAATAATAAAATGAACTGAAAAGAAAATCCTTTGAAAGGCAAGCAAGTCTTTAGATGAAATGGAAAAAGGTGGCCAGGATGCTGCACACTGGTAAGAATAAATATGTCATTAGTACACTGCTTCTACTTAGGCCAGAAAACTGATGCTCCAACATCTTTCTTTGTTTTCCTGAGCCACATCTTGAGAGGTCAGGGCTTAGATACCATCGTGATGAGTGTTACATAAATAACCTAAGAAAATGGTTCCAAACCAGCAACTGTTGCCAAGATTGGTGACATATATAGTTATGAAGTGCCCTGAGTTCGGCACCATCACACAGTGCCAGGGAGAGAGGCTATTTCAGGATGTTACAGATGTGCTAGGGAGCAGTCAATGAGTGAACAAATGAATCACTCTGGATAAGGAAAATGGAGTCAACAAACCAAGAGGTATGTTTAAGAAGTGGTGACCAGAAGCAAAAGTGACAATGTCTGTGTTTAATAGCAGAAAATTTAGGTGGTAAACAGTGTGAATAGTTTTGAGGAAACAGAAACTGTTTGACATGAAGCAAGCAAATATAAAGCGTCATTTGCTTCATAGCAGATCATAACTCATTTTGTGGGAAAGCAACAGACTCTCAAGTCTGCAAAGTCAGACAAAATCGACATCTTGTAACTATAGTTTCTATACTATCTTCATGTATATTTCAGGGCCTGAAGATTATTATAACAATACTGTCCACAGGCCCCAATGAGAAATTAGGGCCCTATTGTATTGGGCACTGCACAAAACACAATGGCAAGAGACAGTTTTTACTATCTGAAAAGCCAAAAGAATAAAGAGGATAGGTTAGTTAAAGTGGTACACCATGCAGATGGAGTGATGATGGGCACACACCAGGTTAGTTCAAGATCTTTCTTTTCGTGTTTATTATTTAGATTCTTGTTTATTGGGGCAAAGGATGAGGTGAGGGAGAAACAGGCCTCTGGAGCTACTGCTATCTGGTAGCCAGAGATCACTACAACACAGCTTAGTCCAGCAGCACTAACCCTCAAACGTGCCCCATGCAGAACCCATATTGCATAGGCTACGCACATTGTGACATCGGAGCTGGCTCCACACTAGTTAAGGAATCCCCCATGCCAGAGGAATCTGGGGCTCAGGAATTCTGCCATCACTCTGGCCCTTTTGCACCACTCCATTTTGTAATACCAGCTCCATTCTGCTTCCCATTGTTCCCTATAGGAGTGAAGCCAAGCTGCCCTCAGGGAAGATGGTGGCCACTTATATTTGTATGGGTCAGCATCTTCCCTGAGGGCAGCTTGGCCTCATTCCCCTTGGGAACAATAGGAGGCTTCTAGCAGCACTTCCCTTGTGAGCAGTAAGGAAGGCAGCCATTTTGAGAGAATGTAGTTCTTCATGGAATTCTCTGTTGTCAAACAATATTTGTCATCTGCTGAAGGAAAAGCTTTCAGTTATGAAGGACAACAGCAAAAAAAATGACCATTAATCCTAACAAATTTAATTCTTCAAACTTAGTCAAAGCATGAGATTTCAGTGAGTTTTAACTCTATGGAATACTCCGCATTATTCTGTTAACATAATCTGGGATAAATAATCTGACATGGGTGTTAAATTTCAGAAAGGATCCATTTTAAAATTAGTTTTAGGGTATAAACTAAATAACCAATTTCCTTGTAAATGCTCAGACAATTCCTTCTATACCCAAAGTGTATGTGCTGTAATACGTTTTTACATTGAGGAGGAGCTGTACTCTGATGTAACAAAATGGCTGAATCCCTGTTTATGGTGCTCATGACCAGAATTCCAGATTGCCCCTTTCCCTAGGACCCTGTTCTGATATATAGACTCAGGTGAACAAGCAAAAGGAGTCCTTCAAAGAGGTATTGCGTAGAGGTTCTAGAGGAATTGGTGCAATGGTTTAAGGGATGACCTGGGCATCTGAAGTGGACTTAGTTGCAAGTAGCTCAGGAAATCCGCTTCACTGGAAGACTGGAGATGAGGAATGGGAATGGCTTGGGATCAAAGCACTCTCAAACCCTTGTGTCACAGCTTACAGGGTCTGAAACAATGATCTAAAGCTCCTCACACCTAATGAACAGGACAAACTAGGCTGCTAGTGTTTCAGTGTTCCACACTGCCAGGCTGCATTTCCACCCTCTGATATCTCAGTCCACCCAGAGCACATGGCCCAGCATTTCCCAGTTTGCAAGGGCCAGGCTGCAATCACACATAGATGGATGAATTACTCAGGAAGACAAGTGACATGTACACTTTCTCTCTCTCATTGGCTGTGGAGCATA